TGTTGAAAAATAAGGTGTCAGTTTGGGCCTTTATATTCTAGTGTATTAATTTGATCTTATTACATAAAATTTATAGTTTAATTAAAAGTTTGTATTGGGGAGTATGTGAGGATTGAATTTTCACCCTTTAAAATACTACTGATATTGGTTACTACCCACATGGATTGAAACAACAGAAGCCCTTGCTTTCATCTTACAATCGAAAAAATGGTAAGAAGATCTTAGGCCAGGCATGGTGACTGTAATCCCAGTACTTTGGGAGACCAAGGCAGGAGGATTGCTTGAGGCCAAGAGTCCAAGACCAACATGGGCAACATAGTGAGAGACACTGTCTCTACAAAAAAATTAAAAATTAGTTGGGTGTGGTGGCGTGCTCCTGTAGTCCTAGCTACTCAGGAGGCTGAGGTGGGAGGATTGCTTGAGCCCAGGAGTTCAAGGTTACAGTGAGCTATAATTGTACCACTTCACTCCAGCCTAGGCAACACAGGGAGACCTTGTCTCTAAAAAAAATAAAACAAAGATCTCGATAATCACAAGATCTTAAATTTTCTGATTTTTTTAGTATTAAATATTTTTTATGGTTTTCAGACAAAATGTTTTATTTTTAAAAGATGTAAAATCTTGAAATCAGTACTTTATGAAATTTGCAAACTATCTTCAACCATTCAAATTCATATATTCTTATGTGTACCTGAAATACTTCATTTATATTTTTAGTAAGCTGGAAATATACGTAAATATACTTTTTAAAGAAGACTAGAAGTAAAACCAAGACTTACTTGCTTAGATACTCAGGAAGTGTGTTGATTTTTCTAAGTTTGGATGAAAGGTGAGTGGAGGCAATAAACAGGGCCATTTTACTCTTTGTTTACATCACAGAAGTAAGATGATTGCTTCCTTACCGCATTACTTAACTGTGAAACATTTTAGTGGCCTATTGGGTAAAGATATTTCTATTTTAATTGGGAAATGTTAGTGTGAAGTCTGTGTTGCTTTTGAAATTAGATAAAATTACTAACAGATTACTGAATTTAAAAGTGTTTTAAAAGCTACCTTTCAAGAAAACGTATCAAGGAATCCTGTCCTGGTTGGTTGGTTTTAGCTTTTTTTTTTATTTCTC